GTTATAGTGAGCGCCATTAGCTTCTTCTTGTATATATTAGACAGCATAGCTAATGTTTACAATACTGTTCAACCCTTTACTAACACCAGAAGTATACTACACTTACAATCAAAAATCAAACCTAAAAACTCACAACTCACTACACTTATATATCAAACACGTACACTGAACCAATATAATGTGTGGTACGAACGACGAAACAAAAACAAACGTTTTCGAACCTCTTCTAGGTTCTTCCTCAGGTTCCTTAAGCTTTTTAGCTCGTAAATTCGATATTTCAAATAACTTCATTCTTGCGATCGAACAGTTCTTTTTTAAAAGATGTGTCGCGCATGCCGTTCAAACTAACGACTGCCGTCAACGAAAGACATTAACGAATGTTGTTTAAATAATTTCTTTCTTAAGATCGAACATTTCTTTTAAATTATCCGTCACGCATGCGTGACATGTCCGCTTGCTCGGAAATAACGAGCAGTTAAAGCGTGTTATGTATCAACTCTTGCCAGGCCATCGACAAGATCATCTCCTCTTTAAAATTTATGCACGTGGTTTCGATAGAGGATTTAAAGATGTGCATCGCCTCTAACCACTTGAGATGTTCATTGGGAGGCGCACCGAGGAGGAGATTGGTCCTATTAAAGTCAGCAACTATGCCCGGGTCTGTTGCGTATGTAGCGAGGGCCGTGCTGGTTCTCCCGTGACGAATGTCTGCCTTATGCTCCTGTATTCTGACACCTATGGATCTTTTAGTAGAGCCTATATATATTAAGTCCCTGTCGAATCTGTAATCTCTCAAAGGGACACTATAGACCCCCGGTCTTCTGCTGGGGTTAGGAGGGTCCTTCCCATTCCTTAGGATGTTAAAAATAGTAGGGCACCTCCTGTAAGCAATACTGATTTGGCGCTTCTTGGCGATCTTGTCATATATAGATCTTACATATGGGTTAAAGGTGACGGGTATACGTTCCATGTCTTCCGGAACCTCCTTTCTATCAACGCGCCAGTCTACCAGCCGTTCTTTATCCGCATACATCCGGCTATAACTTTTTATCATCTTACGTATGGCTGTGCGATACCCATGTTCCGCGGCTACTCGCATTATATATGTTAGCTCTTTATCACGAGCCTGCACGTTAGAAGAATGTGTGAAGGCTCTTCTGATTAAGGCTTTATATGCCGCCATCTTGTAGGGTACCGGATCACATGATCCTATCGGGATGTACGAGGACATAGATCCTGGTTTACGATACACCGCAGTGCTGATGCCCTCTTTCTCTAACCTAATATTTATGTCTAGGAAATGTACTTCAGTGGTGTCAGATTGTTCTAATTCTAGCATCAACCCGTACGGGTTATTATTAAAAGCGTCTACCAATGCTGTTATATCCGGCACATTTTTCCAGATAATAATAATGTCGTCAATATATCTCCTATAAAGTTCGATGTTAGGGAGGAATTGTGGGAGGATTTTTTTCTCCAACTGCCGGACCACCATCTCACATAGGTCCCCTGAAACCGGGCTTCCCATGGGGACCCCTCTGCCTTGTGTGTAGACCTCACCATTGAATTGGAACACAGAATTATAACATATCAAATGTGCCATTTCAAGTACTTGGTTGTGTAACGCTTTATCCCCGACTAACCAACCAAGTACTTGAAATGGCACATTTGATATGCTATAATTCTGTGTTCCAATTCAATGGTGAGGTCTACACACAAGGCAGAGGGGTCCCCATGGGAAGCCCGGTTTCAGGGGACCTATGTGAGATGGTGGTCCAGCAGTTGGAGAAAAAAATCCTCCCACAATTCCTCCCTAACATCGAACTTTATAGGAGATATATTGACGATATTATTATTATCTGGAAAAATGTGCCAGATATAACAGCATTGGTAGACGCTTTTAATAATAACCCGTACGGGTTGATGCTAGAATTAGAACAATCTGACACCACTGAAGTACATTTCCTAGACATAAATATTAGGTTAGAGAAAGAGGGCATCAGCACTGCGGTGTATCGTAAACCAGGATCTATGTCCTCGTACATCCCAATAGGATCATGTGATCCGGTACCCTACAAGATGGCGGCATATAAAGCCTTAATCAGAAGAGCCTTCACACATTCTTCTAACGTGCAGGCTCGTGATAAAGAGCTAACGTATATAATGCGAGTAGCCGCGGAACATGGGTATCGCACAGCCATACGTAAGATGATAAAAAGTTATAGCCGGATGTATGCGGATAAAGAACGGCTGGTAGACTGGCGCGTTGATAGAAAGGAGGTTCCGGAAGACATGGAACGTATACCCGTCACCTTTAACCCATATGTAAGATCTATATATGACAAGATCGCCAAGAAGCGCCAAATCAGTATTGCTTACAGGAGGTGCCCTACTATTTTTAACATCCTAAGGAATGGGAAGGACCCTCCTAACCCCAGCAGAAGACCGGGGGTCTATAGTGTCCCTTTGAGAGATAACAGATTCGACAGGGACTTAATATATATAGGCTCTACTAAAAGATCCATAGGTGTCAGAATACAGGAGCATAAGGCAGACATTCGTCACGGGAGAACCAGCACGGCCCTCGCTACATACGCAACAGACCCGGGCATAGTTGCTGACTTTAATAGGACCAATCTCCTCCTCGGTGCGCCTCCCAATGAACATCTCAAGTGGTTAGAGGCGATGCACATCTTTAAATCCTCTATCGAAACCACGTGCATAAATTTTAAAGAGGAGATGATCTTGTCGATGGCCTGGCAAGAGTTGATACATAACACGCTTTAACTGCTCGTTATTTCCGAGCAAGCGGACATGTCACGCATGCGTGACGGATAATTTAAAAGAAATGTTCGATCTTAAGAAAGAAATTATTTAAACAACATTCGTTAATGTCTTTCGTTGACGGCAGTCGTTAGTTTGAACGGCATGCGCGACACATCTTTTAAAAAAGAACTGTTCGATCGCAAGAATGAAGTTATTTGAAATATCGAATTTACGAGCTAAAAAGCTTAAGGAACCTGAGGAAGAACCTAGAAGAGGTTCGAAAACGTTTGTTTTTGTTTCGTTGTTCGTATCACACATTATATTGGTTCAATGTACGTGTTTAAAATCAAACCTGTTACTGGCGTGCATTCTATAAAAGATTGTCCCACAAACATTTTCGAACTTTATGAGTTGTTCTTCAGGTGGAAATGGAATACAAAAATAGTGTTCTATTTTTTCTCAAGTTTCCAACAGGAGATTTCAAATCGAAAAGTTTTCCATATAAAATGAACCATACAAATGCAAATATATGCATCAACCAAAAAGAAGAGCTCAACCTATCACCAGCCTGGCAACTCCTCCTAGACAAGTATCCATAATAATTGACACCTGCACACAACGGCACATGTCCATCTGAGCAAAATTCAGCGAACTTTTTGATTTGAAATCTCCTGTTCTATTTTTTCTCAAGTATTCCATTTCCACCTGAAGAAGAACTTCATAAAGTTCAAAAATGTTTGTGGGACAATCTTTTATAGGATACTCACCGGTAACAGGTTTGATTTTTGATTATAAGTGTAGTATACTTCCAGTGTTAGTAAAGGGTTGAACAGTATTGGAAACTTATTTAGTCAAATCTGAACAATCATTCTCTTTACAATAAACGGCAGTTGCTGATAATAAATATGAAAAACCGACAATTATCTAATATTTCCAGGTACCATATGTAATATTTAGTCTTGAGTATCCTATCTCTTTCTTCTCTAAGAAAAAGATTATCAAACAAATTATAAATCTAGAATCATATAGACCAAAAGTCCTTTTCCTATAAACTCTATTATCAAATATTCTTTCTCTGTTAAATATTATTCATATAAACAGAAATAGGATAAGAAATAGAAATAAAATTTTCTAACCTTTGTAAATATTTCTATAAAATATGATACAAAGATTCATAAATAAAAAAGTTTATTTGGTTAATAGATTTGTTAACAATGAGATGGAAGCAATTATTCAATGTATATAGTCACCAACTAACAAAGCATAAATATATTTGAAACCTGTTCAATGTTTTCTTAATGTAAGCTAAACACTGCTGGGTACTGTACAGTATATATCAGCTAGTTAAAAATAAATGAAAGTAAACAAGATTATACTTAAGTATATAAGTGTAACAAACATTGTGAATCCCAATATGTATATAGAAACATGACAAAACAAGCACCGTGAGTAACCGAGTGAGGTTATATCTAAATTTAAATACATCTGGAAGCAAAGGCTTACTCAGGGTCTGAGTGGCACAACTGGCAAGTGCACCACACAGCAAGCAGAGGCTGCAGGCTCAAGTCCACTCGAGTCAGTTCTTTTCTTCCAGATAGTTCTAAATTATTTAATAAATTATTAAAATTATAATTATTAATTTAGTTAAGAGATGGCATGTAACATCTACCTCTAGTACCAAATTAATAAGTATTAATTATTAAAATTAGCCGTATTATAGTCCAAATATTTAAGCGATCATTTGATGTTTCAAAATTATACTTATTAATATACATAAATTGGACCCACTAAAAACTATTTCAAGTTGCATTTATGTCTCTGAGTATGTTAATGATCATCTTGAGATTTGCTTCTGGATCTGCAACGAGTGAAAGGAGGCCCTCCAAAATATTTTGTGGGAGGACCAACCCTGCAGTTTTCCGTTCTGCAAACTACCCATAAAAATTTTTAAGCATCTATGCTAGACTCAAACCCTGATCTCTCAAACTGACAGACTGACATCTTTACCACTTTATTAGTCAGCAATTAGTTAACTAATAAATTTTATAAACTTTGAATTTTCTGTTATATATTGTCATTTCTTGAAAAATACAAAGTAACTGTGTTATTTTCTAAGACAGCAATGTAATAATTTTCAAAATGAGAGTATTAGCAAATTAGTTAAATAGTTAATAATTATAATAAACAATTAAAATAATTAAAATCTTATAATAAACAAAAAGTTTATTTCTTACCTGTAAGTTCAGGGGAAGGCTTAACTCCTTTAATAAGTCCTTTTGCAAGTGAAGATGTTTCTAATTTATAAGTATCTTGCAATCTAAGAAGAGCTGCTGCTGCACCAGTGAGATCTTCATCATCTGGAAACTTTAAATCTTCTCGAAAACGAGTAATGTTTTCAATTAATGCTGCAAAGTAATGTGTTAGTTATAATTACTGTAAACTTTAATTTATTCATATTTATTCATATTTCTTATATGTATTATTATTATTAATGCATTAATAAGTCATTTATTTATAATACATAAGTTATATATCAAAAAGAGTAGCAATCACATTCATTCTAAATTTAAAAACTTACAACTTCCAAAACTAGAATGGATCAAATCATATTTTATAAATAATATTAATCAACATTACTAAAATATTGTTTAAAAATCACAAGTAAAATAGTACACAATAAATAACAGTCTGATATTCAGCTAAAGTTGATCCTAATATAATATGAAATATATAATTTTCCTTATTCTAATATAAATGTTTTAATATCAGGTTCAAACACAATCAAAAATATAGTTGATTCCAAAAATTATCTCACAGTAATTGAATGAAAGAATAATTCAGTTTGCTTTATAACACACATACACATATGCAAAGTATTATATATATATAAATTACAATTATAAATACATTTTTACAGTAGAATATCAATATCTCAATGCAAAAAAAGAGAGACAGAAAAAGAGAGAAAAATTTTCAAGTTAATAAAGTTAGAGTTAGAGAAACTACCATACTTTAATGAGTTTGTAAGCATCATAATATAAATAATATAGTTAGATTTAAATTCATTATGTTTTATTATAAACTCATGTATATATACAAACTATTAACATTATTAGTGGGAAAAAATCTGTTACATGAATTTCTCAACAATTCATTACTTCTTACTCAACAATGTTTTCAATGTGGTTGATTATCTCAAAAACATCTTGTTTTATGAATGATGTAGTTTCTAGAAAGCTCCTTAAAAGCTTGATAGCTTTTTTGGCTTTCCTATGTGAAAAAGAAATAGAATATTTATCTTTAACAGGATTTACTTATCTTCATTGCTTGTTTCTTGCATTTGATTCTTTACTTTTGTATAATATCATCTTCAAATAGGTGTCCATAGATAGCTAAGTCAGTACCAGTATTGACAAAATCTTCAACTGATACTTTTCATCATTCATTGCTATAATGAAATCAACCTTCTTCAATATAGTCAATAAATTCTGATGGAAATTCTGATTTATTCAAAGCATCAACAAATTGTTGACCAAAACTGCTTTTGTAAAGCAATTTGCAAACAACCAAATCTTAAAAACCTTTAATATACAGTATTTTTATTAAATCTTCTAACACTTTTGGTCAGTTGATTGACCTTCTTCAAGAAAGAATCGAAAGATTTGGTTGTTTGTACATGCAGTTAGAGAAGGGTGCAATTTGCAAAGGTGCTTTGCTTGAACTTCATTCAAAATTTCATTGATCATTTGCATTGCATCTAACAGGATGCAATGCAAATGATTAATGGTAACAGGTTCACCAAACTCAAATTATCCATCTTCAATAACATGCAACATTTTTCCTACAATGAGTTTGCTGTATCATAAAGTTTTGAATGATTCTCTGATTTAAAATTTGCAATATGAAAGTTGCATTTGATAGTAAAAATTGAACTGTTATATCTTTCAAGTGGGTATCATTGAATATATGGCAGTTGTTAATAAAAAGAATAATTTTTCTATTTTTGGCAATCATGCAAGTCTAACTTTTTCAGTCAATTGAAAAAAGCTCTGACAAAGTCCACACTTTCTTATTTGCTGCTAATTATGTAGGTTATATCTTGGCATTGTGGAAACAGAAGTTTCAATTAATTAATAAGAATGGCAGTTTTTCATTACTTGCCGTGTTTGGTCCCACCCAAAGAAAAAGTTATTTGATGCATTTCTATCTCAATGTGAATCCCCTTTGAACACCATTGTTTTGTCCACCAGACATTTAAAAAATAAGCCTATTTCATCTATGTTAAAAATATCATCTAGGCTTAGGGTTGCCAACTATCCCACCTTGTGCAGGAATGTCATGCATTTTCAAATTAAGCCCACAACATGTGAAGACACATGAAAATCCAGAAAAATATTTTAAAATGATACTATTAAAGAAATTTATAAAAACATACTTATTGGAAATAAAATACATGTAAATGTACTGTGGACCATGGAAATGGGTTATATTGACAAAGTTATCTTACATTAATCACTGTTATATATGGATTCATACTGCTACTTGTATACAGAATTGGACTTGCTTTCAAAGAAGCTTACTGCATTGCCAGATGTTTTCAGCTTTCCAGAGAAAAACTTTTTAAAAAGAGCCGACTCAGAAAACATTCTGTTTTGATAAATAACCTAAGATTTGACAATATAATCAAAGAGACACTTTTCATGAATGGGTGAAAATGTAAAAATTCAAGGTAAAAGCGTTGAATTTACAATATAACATTAATATGGATGATCTGTACAACGAGATAGCTATAGTTAAATAAAAAGTAACAAGTGTAATGATGGGAAATTTAATGTTCCAGAAAAATGGGTAAAAATTTTGAATTGTAGTAAACTAGTGCCAAACTTAGTTAAACTATTGTCATTTTGCCTGAGTATTTCAGCTACTAATGCTTTTGTAGAAAGTTTTCTCTCTTATAAATATGTTTTGAACGAAAAATTGAAATAGATGTTTTGTGAAATTAATAAATAATGAATTAAAAATTAAGTTAAGTTCAAAGGAATCCTGTCAACAGATGTACACAACAGTGCTAAAAGATAAAAAGCTTCTTTCTGAAGCATGATCTGAAAGAAAATATTTATTTCTTAAACATAAAGAAATAAATTGCTTCATATGAAAGTCCTCCATTTTCATTGAAAATCCTCCAATTTTTACTAGCATGTGCCCAAAAAGATTTTCTCCAATTGGCAACCCTATCTAGGCTGTAATTCTGTACAATTTCTAATAAACTTTTCAATCACTTTATATAAATATAAAATTTTATTAAAAATTATTTCTTGCTGCCTCTTCTTAAAAATTTATCTAGTCATCCACTTCTTGCTTTCAATCTGGTATATTCCACTATTGAAACATCACCAAATGATTGCCTTAAATAATCAGGCTATAACTCCACTAATTTAATGATTAATTTGCTACTAGAGATAGATGTTAGGCGCCATCTCTTAACTAAATTAATAATTATAATTTTAATAATTTAATAAATAATTCAGAATCATCTGGAAAAAAAGAACTGACCCAGGGCAGGGCATGAACTCACAACCTCTGCTTGCCATGCAATGCGCTTGCAAGTTGCATCACCACAGCCCAAGCTAGCCTTCACTTCCAGATGTATTTAAAGTTAGATATAATCTTACGCAGTTAAGCATGGTACTGGCTGGGGACAACTCCTACACCCACGGTCTAAGTACAACTCCATAATAGCACTCAGCCAGCTATACTTAAATCCCAACTATTGTCCAAATTGTCCTGCTTTTTTCTAAAAATTTTTCATTAACAGTATTATTCTTATTTTTACACTGTACAAACCATTTCAGCGAGCACTTAAAATTGTGTTTCAACATGTAAAGGATGTAATTTAGTGCATTTCACATTTTCAGTTATATTCTTTACATGATGTAACAAATTCTTTATTATATTCGAAAGATGGAGAACCTGAAGATAGTCTAAATTAAACTGAAAGTATTTATTTGTAATAAAACTGTTGCTGGTAATAAGGTGTTTGGTATTAGTAACTCAAATCAGTATTTTACTTATACAGTATAATAAAATATTATTTATTATTTCTTTTTAGTTTTAACAATGTAAACTAAAAATTCTTACATGTTTTCAAATATATAATTAAAATATTTTATGTAATAAAACAATAATAAACGAGCATAAGTATATTATACTTCATGTATCTAGTATTGCAATCTACTATTTACTTATCATTTCAAATGTAATTTAAATACAAATGTAAATAATAAACCAAAAAATAAAAATTTTTATTTGGCAACACATACCTCTACCTTCACTACTCAATAAAAGATTTTCTGTAGCTTTCCAATCTGCAGTAAGCCTTTTAACTAATAAATAAGCATTAACAGGATTTGCTAGAAATGTTTGTATATTTTGACTTGCTGTATTATATAATTTTCCATATTCTTCTCTAATACTGAAAAAAATTTTTGTTAATATTTAATATTAAGTAAAATTACATAAAATTTTAAATTATATATACTTTTATAGAATTAATTCTGTTAAATAATTAATCCATATTTTAAATTTATTCCAAAAGATTCTAAGAGATCACAACAGTAAAGACGTATTAAAATAAAACAATATAAATAAAATGACCATTTATATAAATAGAATAAAAACCAATTTCAGTATGAAAATATTAAAAATAGAATTGTAAAACTTTATATGCTCACATATGATGCCAAATATATTATAAGAAAGAAGAAGTACTGTCTTTTGTCATTAGATTTTTTTCTTTAATAAATTAAATACATGAATTAATAGGTTTAAAAACATTCTTATCTTTGCTTAATTTAAAGAGATTTTAAAATCAATATTCAAATTTTATATATTTGTTTTTTGCTTAAGGAAAACATTTTGGAATGTTGAAAATACTTGCATGTATTTAATTGATCAAACAAGTAAATCTAATGCTGAAAGATAGTACTGTTTCTTCCTTATAAAAGCAGAATGCATTAATGGCCAACAATTGTTAGAAATTTTGAATGAAGTTATAAGTAACATTCAAATTTTGTCAAGATTGAAAAGCATTCACTATCAGATACTAAGATATACAAATTCGCATACTAACCATAATAAATTATATGACTAAATAAAATTTATGCATTAAATTTGCATTAAAGGTTAATTTTCATTAAATTTTATTCTATAATTAATTTTCCCAAAATACTTAAGAAGGTTATAACAATATCATAAGAAAAGCTGTATTAGTTTTATTTTTACTCTTACACTTAAAACAAATAAAAATATTATGCACTAATTCATCTAATTTTAATTAATTATCATTTATAAATAATTTCAAAATAAATGAAGATGATGATACTGCTTCAAATAAATACAGCTATAGATTTCAGTTACTGTATTCGTATTTTAAAATTGTATATTTGAGATTTAACTATGTTTCATACTTATCCTTGTAATGTTATAGAAACTTCTTAATGGAAGTTACAAAGCAATTCTTACAGATAAAAACAATTAAATAAATTAAAATTAAAAATTTTTAATAATGATTTTTATATAAAATCTAATAATTCAAATACAAGACAAGGTTTATTAATGTATTATTTAACAATTACTATTTTTCATTTCTGAAAATTTGGTTTCACTTGTTCATAAATTTATTATAATTAAAAGATCAACTATATTTAAGAGCAATCAAATTTGTTTGAAAAAGTAGACGTTTGTTTGTTTGTTTTGCTTCTTTATCTATTAAAATCATGTAAAACTTCATTTTATATGATTTTCGCATATTTATGAAAGTTTTAAGTTTTATTTAGCAAATATTTTAAATCGAAATTGCTTAGAAATAATAATTATATGTTTCAAGTTTAAAATTAAAATTAAACTGAAAATAATTATCAGAAGAGTAAAAAACTTCTTTAACATCTTTAATTTTTATTTCATACACAAATTAGTTTTTAAAAATAAATTATTTATCTTAAATACGGGAGCAGATTTAGGGGGATGTGAAGAGTGCATCTTCTTCTGGGTTCCCAAGTAAAGCTGTGTACCTCAAGAATTAAAAACCTTTGTAAGGAGTATTGTTTCCTTTCTGCATCCCATCTAAAGACAATTTCTTCCAAGGACTCTGAGAAGGTATTATTCCTCAGAGATCAGAAAATACTTCCTCGTCTAAAGTGGTGCATCATCCTATGGATAAAAAGGGCAATTTCCTGGGACCCCCTATTAACAGAAATTCCCAAACTAGTCTTTTATAAAAATATATATCCTCCAAAAACTTCCCCCAGAGAAAAATGTCTGAAGTCAATACTGTATGTGGTGTCCCCTAATTCAAATTCACCTGAACCCCATGAAGCTATAATGTGTCACTGCTCATCTAACCTCATATAAAACACCTTTAGTAAAAAAAACAGAATTATTGTTTCAGCAATGTGTCAGAATTATTGTTCCTGTGTTTATATGTATATGTAAATTGACCAACCAATTGCATTTATTACTCCCCTTATACAAGAAAAATACCCTCAGAGAATGTCTTCTGAAAGAATCATTGCTATAAAGATTTCTGGATCTGCATTTGTTTTATTTATATATAATATATATTACTAGCTGCAAGGACCCGCTTCGCTGGGTTTTTATTTGTGGGCAAAAAGTAACAATAGTGAAGATTAAGATAATTACATTATAGCCAATCTTACCCATTTTCACAGAATGCAAGAATTAGGTCCCCGTTTCCAGACTAATTAGAGAATTTTTACGTCCAGTCAAACAAACTATTTTCAATTTGATCAATTTTCTGAAACGTTTACAATCATTCTATAATTGAACCAATTCAAATTCGAAATAGAAAATCTTCCACTTTCAACCACTTTCAAGCCCATATCTCCCGCACCCTTATAGCTATCGAGACGCAACCACCATAGTGCATGAATAGAGACTTGGTGCTACTACCACATACAAACACCATTCATGTGCGATGTGTAATTTTGGCTGAAAAGTGAAATATAGGCACACACACATCTATTTTTATATATATATATATATATATATAATTTTATGTATATATAATTTATAATATACACTAAAAATCTAAAAATTTGTAATATATATGCTACAAATTTTCAGTTTAAAAAAATATTTTTTCAGCAGAAAAAATAAAATTACAAAATTTTTTCTTTTTACAGTTTACTTTAAAATGTTTTCTTGTTAAAAAAACATTTTATTAGTAAAATGAAAATTATTATTAAAACACTAATATTTTTAGTAAAATGATGATTATTAATTTTGTATTCATCTATTTTGAGATATAATAATAACTATCATTTTATAATTAAGATTTAAACTTCTGCACAAGATGATACTATGAAAAAACAAAATAAGCATAATATATTGACCCTAGAAACAGTGATATATGCAGAGGGGGCCAAAGAGCCTTGCATCCTCCAAAAAGAAGAAAATCTTCAAAAACCTTTTCCTAATTAAAATTCTTTTTTTTTATTTATATTGTGTTCTGTCTTTTATTTCTACACTAATTATGAATCATATAAGATCATAAAAGGTGGAAATTTTATTAAATTTGCATTAAAAATTTTTTCTGTTCAATTTGGCTCCCTCTAAGATTAAATTCTAAGTATGCACTGCCTAAAAATACTGTATATAAATATATATGAATGCAGATTTTGTGAAATTAGACAATAAATTTTGAACTTTTTTATTCTCAATTGAAATATTTCAAAAATATTTGTTTTTGGTATAATTATACTATAGATATAAATTCTTTATAGAAAGTAATTAAAACTTTTCATTTAAAATTGTTATGTTACTATGAATACAGTAATTGGTAGATTAGAATAGCATATTATACAGTATATACTAAATTACATATACAATTATTTTTAAATTTTGAATTTTTAGTGAATAAAACTAAATGTTTAAAATTATTTAAAATGAAATGTCAAAGTTTAATTACGTAATCAAAAACATTAAGTTTCAAAGAAATCTTTCAAAACACTTTTAGTGATATAAATGCAAAATGTCATTATCTCAATGATGATACTACTATTTAAACAGGTTTATTCATGATTTAAAAGTAAAGGGAAAAAACCAGAATAATTTAAACACACATGCTATAATTAAATTCATTAGTGATGCATTCTTATAATACTTTTTCTTAAAATTTTAAAACAAACAATTATTACATCAGTTACCAAAATAGTAATAAATTTATTCAGAACAACATTAAAATGAAAGCTTCATAAATATATATAACATTTTTAGAAAGCAGCACATTATAAAAACTATAAATATATTTTGAAGGAAATAAAACTGTTTTAAAATGCATAACTTTTTAGATTAATTATTATAAAATATGATAATTTTATTATAACTAATTCTTTAAATTTATATTTTTGAATAAACCTTTAATCTGTTAATAATACTTTTTACATTTAGAATGTAACAACAAAAAGTATTTTTGTTATGTTACTAACTTACTTGCGAACTTTTTGAAGTCTATTCTCTTCAGTTTCCAAATATTTTTCTAGAGTTTTAACAATTTCACCTTCTGTGTATAGCAACCTTTCCAATTCTACAACAGCAGTAAACATTTCTCCTCTTGACTGCATAAAAATCACCATAAATAAAAAGGAGATAACCAATCTCCATGAAAGAGCCATAATAATATTTTTGATCTGCAACCTGCAATATTAAGTTAAAAATATTCAATTATTATAACACTAAATTTTTTAATTAAAATCATAATAATATAAACTGATTCTAATAAAAATATCAATTGATTTACAGTGGAACCCCATTTATCTGGATGAAATGAGACCGAGTCCGAAAATCCAGATAATCTGGGAAAGTTGTTAACGACATAAATAATACAGTTTATAGACTTTTTATTTTATATATCTATAGTCTTCTCCAACATAACAACCACTTTCTTTCCTTTAGTCATTTTCACAGTGTTTATTTTATTTCACATATGTTTAAAGATGAGCAAAACTCATCTTTAAACATCTGAGTGAAACTCAGTGAAACAATAGGAGTAAAACAACAGCAAAAATCTTAAAAATATTTCGCTGAAGCCTTTCTAAACTCAAAGAACACTCCCTCGGAATGTATAACAATGAATATCATATGCCGACTCATAAGAAACAAGTCTGTCTATCTTTGTTACACTCAGGCAAGAATGTAATTAGGAGTTCTTTGACTTTTTGCATTTATAGGTTTTCCGTATATCTATCTTTCTGAGGCAGGAAATGTATTTTATAATCTGGATAAACCGGAAATCCAGATTAACGGAATCTGAATAAATGGAGTTCCACTGTAATCTGAAATAGCACAACTGGAATCATTTCAATTGAAATGATCTGAATTGAGATAATTGAAATACTGTCAACTGATATCATTTAATTTGATTTGTTCTAAATGGACATTCAGGACTATGAAATGACAGCATGAACATTTCCTGTCAATTGATATTTAAATTATTATTAAATTAAATAAATTGATATATTAGTATAAACATTTCAAAGTATTACAAAGAAATACATATGTATGTAGCTATATATATATTTATATTTATTGATTTTAAAAAATTTAAGTAAAAGTGTTAAATATGAGCTATTTTATGGACACATAATACTACAAATATTATATACTTTTGAGAATCCAATGATTAAATATTAAAATATTTTTGTAAACAGAATAATGGAAAAATTCTTTGAAACACAAATATTTATTTATTAACCAAGTTGAATAAATTGGCTTATGTTAAACTGAATACAAATCAAATTGGAGAAAACAGAATGGAGATCACTATCAAAAAGAGTTGGAACAAAATGGTGTCCTTTCCATTCTTTCCATTCAAATAGTTCATTTTATAAATAACCTCAACTAGATATAAATACCAATAAACTGGCAAAAATAAAAGAAATAAAATGAAAACAAACATTTTCTTCTGCTTTAAATGGTCATTTTCACATTTGAAGAAAGCAGATATAAATGAATGCTAAACAAATGTAGCTATAACGAAGATATAAACAAATGCAGATATAATGAATCCTCTGACTCTGAGAATGACTTGTTTAAAATGGAAGAAACCCATTTGCTTTCATTTTATTTCTTTTATTTTTCTCTGGTTTGCTTTGTTAGTGTTAGTGTACTCATCACAGTTTCTGTCAGTCAGTTTATTGATTTTCACTGTAATTATTAAGAACAATGATTTTCTGGTTGTGATTTATTTCCTATCTCTATCTTTTTCTTTTCAAACAGAATCTTTTTCATTTGCCACACTGCAATACATGGGAGGCCCTGCAATGCTGTATAGCAAAACCATCATCAGCCTATTTTACTATTTTATAAAGATTACAAATCTTTGTAAAATCTCACAAATCGCAAAGAATCATCTAGTTTCTTTTCTTGAGAAAGTTCATATCATATGGTCTATATATTCTTAAGTGATGAATCAAATTTTTCTTCTTTTCAGGAGGAGAATGTGTAGCACTACTCAATAATTTGATATAACTGTAAAAGTCATTTCCTTCTGATGATGATTTGTCCATAATTGACCAATGTAAGGGCACTAACATTGCCAGACTTGAAGATGCAATTTATCATATCTGCCATTTAAAATGCTCATAAGTAAACTAAAATTCTAATACCTATACCAACATACATATATAAAAATATCAATCTTGGTTCTTTCCCAACTGAATGAATCTGAGAACATTGTTCTGGTTCACTCAATTAGAACGTCATTCTAATTCAGTCATTCATAATAAAATGTATACAATATCGTCAATATATACTATATATTGGTATTAGACCTGTTAAATGAAATGTTTATACAATAATATTAAATTCTTTAAAAACACTGACAAATGGAAAAAGCTGCCTGTCCATTGACAGAGCATACAAAATGCTGTTGGTTAGTGCTAAACACTGGTGGTATTATGGTATACTATGTGTATGAAAAAAATACAAAAATAACCATCAAAAATACATCAAATCAAAGTAAACTGATGAGCTATCTTAGCTAAAATATCATTGAATGGTGAGTCAGCATGCATATTTTTATCAACATATCGGAAAAAAATTCTCACGTGGGGACATACTATACTAATATTGCATTTACCAATATAAAATTTTTTTAAGTAACGACTATTCAATAATAACAAAAATAATAAATACATATATATATAAACCAACAGCACAAATAAATTAACATCTTATTATTAACTGAAACTAATGGCTTGACCTGTGGTCTGGCAAGTATTATGCACTAACAAGTAACAATTTCAAACAAGTAGAACAGTCTACCAACAAAAGTAACAACAGCATCATTTATTAATAATATATTTAATAAAAATTCAGCAGCACATAATGAAAATTTCTAGAAAAATACTGATTTAAATGTATGGCTAAATGTTTTTCAATGTAAACATTTTTTTTACACTCCATAAAAACAATTAGATATAACAATACTTTATAAATTATATATATTTTATATTATCCTATAAAAGAAAAAATTTATTTAAACTGAATTCTTTAAATATAAATAAAGCTATATCAATAATTAGCCAATATACTTTAACATGAGAACAGTTTAAGCAGACATTATACCATAACTTAAAAGGAATATATGTTTGAATAATAAACAAAATTCTCATTTTATCAATTATATATTATAATAACATGCACTGTTTCATTTAAAAGGTAAAAAATTGATATTTTATTTATAAACAGTACTAAGTTAACCACTGAAAAAATAAATTGTCTTATAAAATATATATTAGAATATAAAATAAGAAACTTACAAAGTGAAGATCATCTTTAATAGCTATATCCAGTCTAAACAGAAGGAATTTTGGATTTTGTTTGTATGTTAGTGCACTACACTTCGAAACAATAAAATTCTGTATTTTTTTAAATTCTTAAAATTTTTTATGCACCATTTAATATATCATGAAACAACATGAGGAAAATAGAAATAGGTCAAACATACTAAAGTAATCATGGATAAAACCTTTTATTGTATAGTTCATCTTTGGATTTAGGATAGAGGAAAATATATTTAGAAGAAATTAGATTAGATATACAAAAAAATTATATACAATGAAAGACTGGGGTGTCATGAAATAAAGAAATTAGAAATTATACCTCATGGTAATTACTACTGACACTGGTATTAATTTTTAATTGTTAATCTATTCAAATTTGAATAAACTTTTATGAAACAAGCTTTGCAAATTAAAAGCAGAAAAATTTACAATAACTAACAACAGAGAAGTTACATTAGACATCATAGTAATATGACAACTAACATAACTTTTTACAGGAAGTATTTAACTGAACACAATTTAAAATTTGATTGATTTCAATATGATATCAGTATATCAAATATATCTATTATAATATCCAATTAAATAATAGTAATTATTATTGAAATTTTTATATTAGTATTAAATATCATTTACAAAATGATATAGCTGATCTAAAATTTAATTCTTACCAGAACAATAGAGAAATAAGTAAATACTTTAATTTTTACTTAGATAAATCATATGTTTGACAATAAAACAAAATAAGAAAAATGTTATTAAATCTCTTATATTTAATGAAATTTAATTAGTTATAAATTTTCTGCTTTCTTACATTAATTCACAGCAAAGTTACAGGAAATTTAAATTTATAAATTAATATATTTTTTGTTTTGTAATTAATATTTTTCAACAGTATTTTCATAAATTTTAATTATAATTTAAAACTCATTATAAACACATCAGAATTGTATTCTATATTATATATTTAATATTAAAATATTTAATAGTACAGAATTTCATACTTTACATTACATAATTTAATTAAATTTACTAGTTAATCTGATACAAAACAATTCCAAACAATTAAAATAGCATTGTTCAAAACTAACGAAAAAGCAATTTTAAAAACATTTTATCTTCTATATAACAATACTGATAATTGTAAATCTTATTTGGATTTTTTTGTGTCAAATGCTTAATTCAAATAACTTCTGATATTTTACATTCTTACTATCTTGTTATTTGTAAAATGTGAAAATATACTTTCTTTAAATCAAAATCTAATTGCATATTCATTCTATAAACTCTACATATACATAAACATTATTGAACACTTCATTATATATTGATATTATCATATACTGTACTGTATATAGATCTGCTTTTAATCTCTCAAAGTAATTAATTGTCTAAAATTATTTTAATGTAAAATGTAGAAATATATAACATAAATCTTGAATTTGTCTTTTAATTATCAAATTTTTAAGTCATTAAGAAGTAAACTAGTTCATATACACAATCCTCAAATAACATCACTAAAAAACTGACTTCATAATACTAAAGTATCCAACTGACCTAATGACTGTAATTCACATTGTCCTAAATATAAAGTGACGCTTATGCCTCATTGATGATCTGTTACAGTTTAATTTTAGTAGCTTGTTTGTTTCATATATTTTAAGCTGTATATATCTATATTTAAATTTTATAAATAAAGTTTATTATTAGGAAATTTTTCATAAAATACAATTGTATAATATGAAATTAATAATAAAATGTCTTTTATCATCACTGATTTTAGTTTAAAAAATTATAAATTAAATATCATATCATAAAAATTATACCTTTAACAATTTGTATTATAATGATTGTATTAAATACAAAATAATAATAAAGCAACTGTCATATCTAACAATAAATAAGTAAAATTATCAGTTTAACATAACAGCTAAACATAAAAAAAGGAAATTCAAAAAGTTTTAATCAATTATACCAGCATAATTCTATTTTGATTAAAAGGAACTATATTTGGTCAGTTAAATAATAAAAAATGAATGAGGTTACATATTAATCTAAATTCTAATATAGCTGGAAAAAGTTTGATCAAATGTGATTAGACGGCTGACACAACATAAGGAGAAAAACTCACATAAAAGGCATTAAGGAATATTTTATTTTTCTGCAAGCACTTTCAATGCAGTTATGAATGTTTTCTTCAGGCAGAAAAGGAATCAAACAGTTGTTCAAACGGATTTTAAAATTTAAA